GGCTGCTAACTGAAAGGTTGGCAGTTCAAACCTACTAGCCGCTCCTTGGGAGACAGATGTGGCAGTCTACTTCCATAAAGATTACAGCCTTGGAAACCCTAGGGGGCAGTTCTGCTGTCCTTTAGTGTTGCTATGAGTTGCAATCTACTCAACGGCAATGGGTTTGGTTTTGGTTATTTGTGTATCTTCTTGTTAAGTTCTCCTTATGTAGCTTAACCTCTACCTCCCCCAAATTTTACTTAAAATTTTTATGCCCCCAAATCTGAGTAGCATATCTCTGTATTAATACTATCCTTATTTGAACACCATGCTTTATTAAAAAATGGTGAAAAGGTAAAACTTACACTTGGTTCCTGTCAGCTACTATAGTTAGTATTAACCATGTTTTCTTAGGTCTAGGCTGCAAAATCATTTGCTAAAATTTCAAATAGTAATTTTCCAAAGTTTATAGTGGGAAATCATTGGATTTAATTTTGGACAGTTTTTTTGAGGGGAGGGGAGGTAGGGGTTGGGGGGATGTATCCTTTGGCTTAATTTTAGTTGACCTAAATTATTCTAAAGTTATCCACCTTCACAGTAATTTGAAACTGTTTTCTTTTCAGCTGTAAATATGTATTGTGTGCTCTCTACTAAAATAGTATTTTCCATTATGTACCTAAAGTACCACTAGTTGCTGTCGAGTTGATTCTGAATTGTGGTGACCCCATACATGTCAGAGTAGAACTGTGTTCCATAGGTTTTCAGTGGCTGATTTTTTTGGAAGTAGATCACTAGGCCTTTCTTCTGAAGTGCTTCTGGGTGGACGCCAACCTCCAGCCTTTCAGTTAAAATCCAAGCATGTTAACAGTTTGCACCACCCAGTGACTCCATGTATCTAAAGTGGTGGTTCTCAAACTTGAATGTATCATGCATTAGAATCCCTTGGGAGCTGCTTCTTGTTGTTAGGTGCCATCGAGTTGGTTCTGACTCATAGTGACGCTATATAACAGAACAACACATTGTCTCATCCTGCTCCATCCTCACAGTCGTTGCTATGTTTGAGCCAATTGTTACACCCACTATCTCAGTCTATCTCGTTGAGGGTCTTCCTCTTTTTCACTTCCTACTTTACCAAGCATGATGTTCTTCTCCAGGGGCTGGTCCCTTCTGATAACATGTCCAAAGCACATGAGGCAAAGTCTCGCCTTCCTCACTTCTAAGGAGCATTCTGGCTGTACTTCTTCCAAGACAGATTTGTTCATTCTTCTGGCAGTCCATGGTATATTCAGTATTCTTCATCAACACCATAATTCAGAGGTATCAGTAACCCGTTGCCGTCGAGTCGATTCTGACTCATAGCGACCTATAGAACAGAGTAGAACTGCCCCGTAGGGTTTCCAAGGAGCAGCTGGTGGATTCAAACCACTGACCTTTTGGTTAGCGGCCAAGGCATCGATAGAGAACCCTGGTGGTGAAATGTTTAAGTGCTTGGCTGCTAACTGAAAGGTTGCTGGTTCGAACCCACCCAGCAGCTTCTTCTGAGAAAGACAAGCCATCTCTTTCTGTAAGGATTACAGCCACGAAAACCCTATGGGGTGGTTCTACTCTCACATGGGTTCTCTGTGAGTCAAAATCAACTCAAAGGTACCTAACAACAATCCGACCCAGTTTCCAGAAATTGATGCATTAAGTAGGGGTTGAGGCCTAGGAATTTGTAGTTTTCTGATGTCATTAATTCATGGTATTTGAGAAACACTGATCTAAATACTGTTTAGGGAAATCCATGTTTAGTGATCAATCCAGGAAAACTCCAGCCTTCTAAAGTTGCCTATCTCAAAATTTTGAATCACGCTCTCCTAGGTTTTTGAGACTTTAACTTCTGAGCAGTGTGTTGATACCTTTTTGGTTGAGTCGGTGCCAGTTGGACTTCATCCAGCAGATTTTTAAGATTAATAAATAGAGAAGTCATTGTAGGGCCCATTCTTGATGAAGTGGAAGCGGTTTTCATCTAGATGCTAAATGGGATCAAAGAATGTTGCCTAGCACTTTATTTTGTGACTTTTGTAACTACACATAGAAACGAGAAAAGCCTTATCTTGGCTAACGTGTTGTCTTAGTCATTTAGTGCTGCTCTAACAGAAATACCACAAGTGGATGGCTTTCACAAAGAGAAATTTATTTTCTCACAGTCTAATGGGCTAGAAGTCCAAATTTAGGGTGTTAGCTCCAGGGGAAGGCTTTCTCTCTGTCTGCTCTGGAGGAAGGTCCTCGTCATCGACAGTCTTCCCTCGAACTAGGAGCTTCTGTGCGCAGGAACCTCAGGTCCAAAGGATGCACTCTGCTCCGGGTGCTTATTTCTTGGTGATATGGTCCCCAGTTCTCTCTGCTTGCTTCCCTCTCCTTTTATCTCTTGTAAGGTAAAAGAAAGAGGTGGTGCAGGCCACACCCTAGGGAAACTCCCTTTACTTTGGATCAGGGATGTGACCCTGGGTAAGGGTGGTGTTACAATCCCACCCTAATCCTCTTTAACATAAAATTACAATCACTCAATGGAGGCCAACCACACAATTCTGGGAATCATGGCCCAGCCAAATTGATACACACATTTTTGGGGGGGGTCATAATTCAAACCATGACACGTGTTTTTCTTTTTTTTTTTAAGGCCTATCAAATAATGTATAGGTCACTAACACAGGGACTTAGAGTTATCAGGGTGATTCTTACCTAATGTTGAAACCAGATCAATGCAGATTTGGTTGTGATTGACTCCTGAGTAGTTTTAGAACTAATGTGCTTCTATTTTTTTCCCTAATTGAGGGAGACTTGAAAACTAGTCAAATTGCTTGTGTTTTTCAACATTAAAAACCAAAAAAGCCGTTGCTGTCGAGTCAATTTTGACTCATAGCAACCCTGTAGGACAGAGTAGAACTGCCCCATAGAGTTTCCAAGGCTGTGACTCTTGATGCAAGCAGACTGCCGCATCTTTCTCCCACGGAGCAGCTGGTGAGTCCAAACTGCTGACCTTTTGGTTAGCAGCCGAACTCTTTAACCACTGTACCACCACGGCCCCCTTTTTCAGCATCAGAAGTGGTGAAAGTACACATGTAGCATGCTTTAATGGTGTGAAAAGGAGACTTACTCAATTGCACTTGCATACAGTTTTTGTTGGCAGGGTTCTCTTAAAAGACCTATGTTTGCCATTAAATTCTTGAAGAGAATTTACAAAAATCAGAAAGTCTTAACAAACAAAGGGAGTCCTGGGTGGTGGTCCTGGTGGTGCACTGGGCTGCTAGTAGAAAGAATTCATTTCCACCCAGAGGCACCTCAGAAGATTGACTTGTGGAAGGAAAAAAAAAAAAGCTATTGAAAACCTTATAGAGCACAGTCCTACTCTAAGACATACGGGGTTGACAGGAGTCAGAATCAATTCAACAATTAGCTTACTGGTTTTTAACAAACAAGAACTTGTCATTTGGCAGGCTATTTTTAGATTTTCATAGATTAATCTATTGATTGATGACTTATTTAATGGCCTAGAAAGAAGTAGCTAGTTTAGACCTGATTAGTATGTTCTACACGGCTAAAGCAACCCTTGATTGATCCAATAAAAAAGATGGAAAACACGTAGGAAATTTGAGCTTTGCATGGATGATTGGATTTCTTATAGTTGAAATATAGGGGTTCAGGGTTTGTTTCTGTTTTTATGGTGTGGATAAATGCAAGTCATGTGTTAATCTATTATGTAAACATTTAATGCCTTTTCTGGGTAGGTGTGCCAGATACTAGAAATACAGTGGTGTGCAAGACAGATGGTTCCTAAAATGTAGTGTGAACAAAAGATAATGGGCTGAAAATTACATGGTTTACTTTGACCAGCAAAGTGACTTCTGCTTTGTCTTTTGACTAGTGGTGATGTTTTTGTATTTAGTTTTCTCCATGTGTGTCTATCCCATTTGTAACAGATAATATTTGTCTGCCAAATCACCGTTAACCAAGATGATCAAAGAGAATTTATAGAAAAAAATTGGTGTGATGTTGTGTGTATATTTTATCAACTGTATTCTTCATGAACAGAATATAGAAAACTGTTCATAATATTTAAAACATCAGTTACTCAGTACTAACATTTTTAATTAGATGGTTACAACTATCTTAATTTATTCACACTTCTAAGGAGTTACTGGATTTGTGTCTTACATTGTTGTGTCCCTTACAACTCTGCACATAGTGACAGACCACTTATTTTGTAGAATCACCTTCAGTTTGTGTTTGTGTGATATCTCCTAACGATTAAATTTAGAAATGTAGTTTTGACAGGAATGCTACATATGTGATGATGTGTGCCTCTCAGTGTGTCACATCGGGAGACTCATGTCCATTTCTCCCTTCATCAGTGATACTAACTTTGATCTTTTGGTTAATGTGATATTACTAGGGCCCTCCATTGAGAAATTAGGAGTTTTCCTTTTGTAATTAACTTTGGGGGAGATACTAAGACTGTCAGTATATTCTATTCCTCATCAAACTTTTATCCACTAATTTTAACATTCTTTTGATAATTCTTGCCCAAATAAATTATTACCATTTTTTTCTCACATAATGCACCCATGTAAATAACGTGTCCACACATATAATGTGAGGAAATGATGAAATTAAGTAAAACAGTTCTGGTGGTAGGTGGTGGTGTTAGGTGTCTTTGAGTCAGTTCTGACTCATAGTGACCCTGTGTACAACAGAACAGAACACTGCCCGGTTCTGCGGGCACAAATGTTTCTAAAACGAAATTCTTGCTCACCTAGCCTGTGGCCAGGTGAAGAAAGATCTATATGATAAAGTCACATATCACTATAGTAGAATACACTGGTGTCAAATACCGAATGGGATATTTTTATTAATTTTAACTTAGCCCTTTTTATGTAGCTATAATAGTGAAAGCACTCCTTAAAATTTTAGACGATTAAAATGTGCTGCATAATAAATTTTAACTGTTTCAACTCTGTTTCATGTTAAATGTGTTACAGGAATGAATCTGAAGTCTGCTGCAGTAAAACACTGAAGGCTTTAAAATGTTTTCTTGCATAAAACTCAAACTTTAAGTAACTGCTTATGAGGATAGGGAAGGCAGGAAGCTAATGTCTGTCTCAAGATACAGGACAGCTGTTTGCTCATCAACCTCAACTGTGTGAGTAGAGACTTAAGCTTGTAACCATATGTAACTGGGCATAGTAACTTAATTTTTTTTTTTTTAATCTAAAGTGCTTGAAGATACATTTAAGTCAGCATGATTAGACATTTTTTAGGTTCTTTTTTTTTTTTTCCTGGTGGGTAGGATACTGAGGGTGGAGTGGGTGGTAGGTGTTTACGTATAAAATATTTTTGAACAGTAACACCCATAAATAAGTATCATAGTGAACATGTGTCGTTTCTTACAGTTATTCTAAGCATTGGAATTTGCATTGCTAATCTTAGTATTGTGAAGCAAAAGATTATGATTCTTCACTTGGCTGTTTATTTTGTAGTTGATTTCAGCCTTTTTAAATTGATACTTTTGACCAAGGAATCATAAAAATGTATTCTAGGAATATGGTGTTTGATATTCATGTAGAAAATTGCTTCTGAAAATAATGTAATAGCTTAAATAATAATAATTTTAAAAGTTAATATTTTAAAATAGTTCAGTTTATTTCCTCAGAGAGCACATACACTTCAAAATAAAGAGAATTCTTTGTCCTTAAATGCAGTTGGAAGTCTTAAACTTGCTAACTTGTTTATTTTTTTAAAGTGCTATATAATGTAAATCCTGTTGAAGAAAAATTTTTCTTTTCTTTGTACTTAAAAAACTTATCACATTAAGTGTCAATTTTGGGGGTTCTGGGTTTTTTCCTGCTTTCCCCTGTTTCCTTTCTTTCTTTTTTTACTTTTATGAATTCAGGAGCACAAATCTTAATTGAATGTGTTGGTCCCCCATTCCCACTTAGAAGACTGCATGGTTTGTACTGAGGGAGTGATTAAAGTATAAAACATTGCAGTGATTAAAATGTGAAACACTGCATTGAGCAAAATTATGAGCATCTAGGTAAAGATTTATAAAACTTGTTAACTGTTTAGTGAGGAGTAGAACGAATGTTATTTGCATTGTGCGTTTGCAGTAAGATGAATTTACTTTCTCTTTCACATCACAAATGTGTTGGCTGAAGGAAGACCAGAATTGACTGTCTTGAGAATCACTGAGTGACATTTAGAAAATATGTAAAAAATATACACTTAATATAGGTATTATTATGAAAGTGGTTGGAGGATACATGACAGAAATGAAGGAGATATATGTAGCTGCATTCAAAAGTAGTGAAAAAGGTTGACTGGTTCCAGTTTGCCCAATTCTTTTCTGTATTGGCCAGTAGATCTACAGCACTGTGTGAGTCTCCAAAGCTTATCTAGTTCCTAATCTTTCAGTAGCTCTACAGAAATTTTATAATCTCCTTGTTTAATGATGACAAATCTCACTTTAATGAAGTTTTAAGGTCTGTAATATGAGATTTAACTCTACTTAAAAAGCTGAGTTTAATTTGGTGTTGCTATTTTGTTTACAGTACTCTAGCACTCTTCCCTTCTGTCTTTTGTAATTAGTGTCAAAAGTAAAGAAAAGTCAAGGTGAAGGAAGCCTTTGGAACACACTAATGAAACTTTGATTTTTTAAATGAGATTAAACAGACACAGTAGGAATGGGAGAAGCCTTTTATAGCTATACAATTTGGAAGTAGAATTTTAAGGTAATAAATTGCTCTCCAAATTCCTTTTCTCTCACTGAGAAGATTCTCTGTGTTTTGTATTACTCTTCTACCAAGGGGGTAGAGGAAAGTGTTAAGAAGCTAATTAACTTCGCTGGGGGAGAAAGTGCAAGTAGGAGTATGTGAGTACCATACATAAAACTCTTGCTTCTGTTCTGCCCTCTCTGTCCTGCCCTATCCTTTACTTCACCACTACTGTGTAGGCTTCTCATTGATCTTGCACCCACTTCTATGATAGAATTTTGTTAGATTTAAAAATGTATTTAACTTTTTTTTACTGTAGTATTATGCAATATGCGTTAGGATGGAATTCCTGGGCTATTGTAAGGCCTTGTATCATGGTGGTTAAGTACACAGGCTCTAGAGTCAAGGTGCCCCTGGGCTCAGATCCTTGATGGTCCCTCTTAGCAAACATGTGATATTAAGCAAATTACTTAAACCTTTCTGTGCCTCAGTTTTCTAGTCTGTAAAATAATATAGTAATAATTTACTATCTGATAGGGTTGTTGTGAGTCATCAATACATAAACTATCATCACCATCATTATTAAGCCTCTGTTCTTTGCCATGGTGCTAGGTAGTACATTATAAATCCTCAGAGTAATTAGGAGATATTAAGGTTTTAGGATTAAGAACTTGGAAATCACAAAGTAAAATATTTCCAGTTAGGTATCATTAGAGACATCCCCAGTGTGGTAGAATAGAAAAATCCTTACTCTCCTACCTTCTGTTCTCAGTCCGCTACATGTACTAGCCCCATTTTAAATGCTCAGTAACCACATGTGGCTGCTATTATTGGACAGTGCTGTTCTAGATAGTTGAATCTGAATCTAGGAAATGTATTTACATTAAATATGACATCGATGATACAGCATTGTTTTGTGTACACACGAAAGGTTAGCTTTTGTATCAGCTATAACTCCACAGTATAAGGGGAAAGGAAGCAAAAATATTTTGTAAGAATCTTGGTGAAGGTTAGGCATATTTTTTCTTAGTTGTAGGGAAAGTGATTTTTAGGCAATTTACAAAATTCATAATGTAATTATTTTTAGATAAAGAGATGGACAGATGAGTCAAGCAACATTGAAAGTAATGAGTGCTGTCAGCAGTGACTGCTTCTTGGATTAAAATGAGCAGTCTGTTGCTTTATGGACACAGACTAATTTTTACATTTTACAATAATTTTTACATTTAAATTATTATTAGAAATAATCTAGAAGCACCTTTGAAGAATGGCAGTGTTATGAGTCGTGCATTAATTCAGGAAGAACTAGGCATCACTTAGTGGTTTTATTGTAAGACAGTCTTTTCTGTTTGGGATTATTCTGCTAAAGGCTAAAAGTAGTCTGTATTCACTTTTACAGTGTGGTTAGAAATATCCTATGTGTTGGGGGGGATACCAAGAAGTATAAACGTGGTCTTATGTTCTGAAAGAACACACTGTTTACTGGGAACTATTCTAATGAGAGACTAGAACCCATGGGAACATCCACTGTAACTGAAGAAAAAGGGGACTGTTAAAAGGATTTATGGAAAATCTTACGGAATTGAATGGGTATCTGCTTATGGGTTTGATGTTCTCTACTGTACCCCCCTCCCGGACTTTAGATTGGTTCATTGGATCAAGTATTCACCTAGGCCTAATTAACTTGTCTGGAGGGGTTATCCCATGGTACTAACAGGGCAGAAGAGCTAAGAGCTGTAGGTAGTACAGATTTCTATTAGAAGGGAATGTGAGCAGGGAGGCAATGATTGGCATGTCTGAACTTAATTTCTTTAACTGATTAACAAGATGCTTGTGTGTGGGTAATGTTACCTCCCTCGTAGGGATATGGTGAGGACTAAATGAGATAACCCATATAAAGTGTTTAGCACAGTGCCTAGTACATAATAAACTCCTCAAAAAACCACTGCCATCAAGTTGACTCTGACTCATAGTGACCCTATAGGGCACAGTAGAACTGCCCCATAGGATTTCTAAGGCTGTAAATCTTTACGGAAGCCGACTGCTACATCTTTCTCCCGTGGAGTTGCTGGTAGGTTTGAACTGCAGACTTTTCGGTTAGCAGCCGAACGCTTTAACCACGGCACTACCAGGGCTCCTCAGTACATAATAGTAGTAATAATAACAAGAGCTGACATTTTCAATGAGTGCCCACTAATAAATATCTAAATAGGTAGTTTTCTTATCCAAGTTTTTAATTTAGGAAAAAAGTTTGGAAAACTTAGTAGGATGAATTGATGACCTATGAATAGCTGCTCAGAGCATTTTAATTCAGAGGGTAGAGTGCCTGCCTAGTTGAGCTGGTGACCTAGTTATGTAAGTTTTAAGTGTTCATGATAATTTGTACCCTACTCCAGATTGTCTTAGGTTGAGCATTGTGAGTATGCTCTTAATCAGGAACTTAGAATGAGATTTCCAAATTTGTTTTAGTCGTTTGAACCCCTTTGTTCAAATGAAATCTTTTGCAGAGACCTGATTTGTAAAAATACTAAAAAGGAACTGTTCTGCTTGAAGTAGGACTTTGCGGCCCCGTCTGCCTTCTCAGTCTTCTCCCCACCGCTGTTCTTCTGCCTCAGCAATCCTTGATAGGACAAAAGCACAATTAATGAGAAATAAACTTTATGAAGAATTGCCTACATTGTAAGCATGAATGATATGATGTTTAAGATTTTATTTTTGACTCTTTGGCTTCTTATAGACTGGCTGTTAACTGAAGTTTGCTATCAACTAAAGATTATATTCAAAGTGTGCAAAGAAACAGTCCCAGAAATTTGTATTTTACTTTACTGTAGAGATATTGTTGACCAGATTATATTTTGTTCTACTTATGAACTGTGGGTGAAATGCTCTTACATTATCAGGATCAGGTTTAGTTGTACTTCTGAGCCATCAGTTTTTTTTGACTTTTGAATATTGTGCCTCTTAAAACTAGTTATATTTTTTCTTCGCATTAGCTGGTAGGAAGAGCGGAGTCAAATGAGTAGCTTCTGCCTAGCAATTATGTAGATCCTTATGGACATGCATTATGTTTATTGACAATATTCTTGACTTCTTTTTCTGCCATTTTCTCTTAGATTGACTCTTCATTTACTTTTAATGTTGTCATACTGAATATTTTAAAAATCATCTTAAATCCTTTCCAGAACAAAATGAGGTATATAAAAAATGGTAGTGAAATGTTTAGTGAACAGCACTTGTTAAACCCTCTTCTCATTCTAGGGTAATGAGATTCCCTATTGCCTATAGGATTAAATTTAGACTTCTTAGTGTAAGTACAAATGATGTGGCTTTACTCTATTTCTAGGATCATTTCCCACCATGCTATATTCCAGGCACGTGAAACTCTTGCTCCTAGTAGACCACATACTTGCTTTTATCATTCACCACAAGT